AGATGTGTGTGTGGAGGGGGGGGTAGTATTGGTAAGACCAGCTTTTTCACTTCCTCCTTGTCTTGTCTTTCTCTCCCCCCCCAATAAAACCCACCCTCTTTTTCATGCTGATGGTATCTTTGAAAAAGGGGGAGTGTGGGGGGAGTGCCTTCGAAGTAAGGCTGAGTTGGGAGGCCTTGCAGAGAAGAATCGGGCGGGGTGGGGGGGGACGGTTAGGCTGTGCAGGCGTATCAGACAACCACAAAACCAGAGGCAAAAAAACAACAACGTTGTGGCACTTTAAAGACTGACTGGTCTGTTTTAACGGGAGCTGGAGATGGACTCGATCCACAAAGAACAAGACTGTGTGGTCCTCAAGATTACACAAATGCAAGGGGTAGGTCATACCTTTTGTGAGACCACTATAAAAATCATAGGGGTTGTAAGCTTTTGTGGGGGAAGCCCCACTTCCTCAGGCTGAGCTCAACCCCTTCGTGGATATTCTTAGTTCATAGATTCATCAACGCTCAAAAGAAAATACAGCAGTTAGTCTTCAAAGTGCCACTATGTGGTTGTTGTTGTTGTTTTTTTATCTCCCTCCTTCTCTGTTTCCGATATGGGTCAAGGGGAAATTCATTCATTTATTTATTACATTTATAGCCCGCCCATCTAGTCATATAGACTACTCTGGGAGGGTAACAACATATCATATAACAAATTACAGTTTAAAACCATAAAATTGATCCAAAATGGGAGAAAACACAAGAAACAAATCAGACAATGGATGGAGGAAAGGCTTGCTTAAATAGCCAGGTTTAAATTTCAAAGGGCAGAAAGGGGAGGGTTAAATGTTGTAAAAAGAGACTGGAAAGGGAAGGAGGATCCAAAATGCGGCCATGAGGGATCAAGCGTCTTGGGTTGGAAAAGGACTTCGTTCCCAATAAATACTCATAGTAAAGAGCAGAAATTGTGAGAAATTTAATAAACATTTAAAATCTTAGTAAGTATGGCTTTAATTTTTATCAGGGTGTATGTTTTTCTTTCCAGTCATGTCCTTCCAATTTTATGCATGTTTCCCAAGAAATTCTGTTTGAATTTAATATTCTCCCACCAGCAAGAAAAAGTCAGGACTGTTCAGAGGAGGAGTTGCTGATGAATTTATGGGGTAAATTTAACTTCTAAGTTAATGTGTAGGGGATCGAAGCTAAAAAAACAAAAAAAAAAAAAACACTTGTGACTTGTGTTTGCCTCCCCCATTTTCTTCTCACCCTTCCCACCTCAGATGTAAATGCAGATGGAGCGCTCAGAAGCCAGAGGCCAAATACAGCAGCAGACGGAGCCACAGCCATGGGGAAAACTGATCCGCCTGGGGGCCCAGGAAAAAGAGCCTCACATATTGTTGTTGAAGAAACAATGGACTATTGGGAGGAAAAAAGGTAAGTTCCAGAAGCAGTTGGGTTTTACATAGTTTAGGGCCAAAAGGGCGGTAGAGGGTGATTTAGAAATATGTGTATTCAATTTCTCCCTTGATTGGTCGAATTGTATATCAGTTAATAATGAAAACTAACTTCTATGATGATGTTTATGTTCTAAGCAGAGAGGTCAAAGGGATCCTTGTCTCCCTTGCTGGACCTCAACATATTTTCAGCTGTACTTAGAAATGCTTCCTGCCTTTCTTCCTGTTTTGTACACTGAACTCTTGTGTGTCTCTCATTTTAAAAGGCATGCCTGAATCATGGTTTTTAGGCTTTCCTCGGATGATCCCTTTAGCATTCTACCAGCTTTTCTGAAATATATTTATGTGAGTAGACTTCAAATGGCTTTAGTTGTAATGTTTAGAAAAAAGCCCTCATGACCAGTCCTCAAAGTCATGTTGTATGGATGCTTACGGCCCTAATGGAATAGTGTTAAAATGCTGCAGTGCGTTGTAGGAACAATTCAAACTGTTGCGGATGATAGGTCGAACTTCAGGTTTCCACTTTGATTATATACCCAAAACATGACAAAGGAAGATGTCCCACCACCCTTATCGATGCGTTTGGTGGGGACACAGGAGAGGGCCTTTTCTGTAGTTGCTCCCAGACTTTGGAACTCCCTCCCACTGGAGGCCATCCTTTCTGTCCTTCCGCAAGCAAAGACCTTTCTCTCCAGACAAACTTTCCCTGAGTGATGGGCTGCCTGAGTGGGACTTTTAAACAGTGTTGTGCTTTACTGCTTTGAATGTGGTTTTAGTATTGCTTTTGTTTCTTATTTTTTAGAGTGATGTTTGTTTGATCCTTTTTTAGTATTTTTATACCTATTGTTTTCAGCTTTAAGTATTTTTTAAACAATTTAAGCTGCTTCTGCATACTCATTGTTTTTAGCTTTAAATATTATCTTTTAATGATGTAAGCCACTTTGAGTACTTTTTAAGGAGAAAGGGGGTTTAAATATCATGAATGAATGAATGAATGAATGAATGAATGAATGAATGAATGAATGAATGAAGTATTAAGATGGAAAAGAATGTGAGATTATGCAGCTGCCACCCCTCTTTTTGTAAACTTTTTTGAATACGTACCAGATCTTAAAGAAAAGTAGCAAATAAATCAGTAGTTGAAATCTTCTTGCTCGTGTAAGAAAATTAGTACCTTTTAGTCCTTTCCTAGCTGGCAAATAAAGTATCTTTGCTGTGATTCTTGGGGTGGGATTTACTCTGTCCTGGGGCATGTGTGTATGCAGGCCCTCCGAGAACGGCCACAGGAACTTGTTATTTGCTGGTGAGGAACATTCTAAAAACTATGAATGTTCTTACACAAAGCAGCAGGATTCCAGCCAATATGTAGGAAGTGGCTCTAATAGAGAGTCATGCCGCTGTTCCGTCTTCCCCAGTTTTGTGAGATCTGACTGGCAGCAGGGTTCCACTTTTCATGAATGAGTCCTTCCCACCCTTACCTATTGCTCCCTAGCAGTCTCTTATCCTAGTACTAACCCAGCTAGCGCCTACTTAGCTTCCAAAATCTAATCGCAATGCAAATTGATGAAGTTGTCACAAAGAGGAAAGCATTTCTGTCTCTTCTACTGTGCAGCTAGGAATTAAGCCTATTTTACTTTCTGTTTCCCTCTAAGTTAGTTTATCGTGCCGTATGGACCCATGATCGTGGTTTATCCCTGTGGTATTAAAGAACTCAATGGGTTATGGCTCATTTAAACTGGTTTATAGAACACTCGTGATCTCTGGACCAAACAATGGGGCAAGCTGAGATTTAGAAAAACTGAAATTAAGCCCTTTCAGTGACAACTTCCTGGCTCTGTAGAAAGAAGATGGCAGAGGAGAAGGTGCATAAACGTTAACATGGTGGTGCGTCTTCCTTCTCGTGTACTTCTTGCTAAACCTTGGCGTAGAAGCACATGCAAAGATATCTGTTGTTTTTTCACAGTGTGATTACAGTAAATCTCCAATTTCCATGGGTTCAGTATCTAAAGTTTCACTTATCCGTGGTGTGAAAATATTTTTAAAAAATTAAATGAAACAAAACCCGAAACCCAAAATGCATATTTCCATGATGTAATTACCAGAACTGGCAACTAGAGGGAACCAGAGACCATGCTATGTATCGGGTTCATTACTATCCACAGTTTTCAGCATCCGCAGGGGGACTTCGAACAGATCCCCTGCAGATACCACAGTCCTGCCATACCTGTAAGCTAAGCAGCATTTCACATTTTGTTTCAAAGGTTGTGACCTGTCCTTTCCTGGCAATAAACTGGTATCTGGAGATCACTGTAAAATAACAGTGGATGAAGAATCTGGTCAAGTATCACTAGAAGATACCAGGTCAGCTTTTTAAAAGTTTTTTTTTCTTTCCCCAACTTAGTTCCATGGAGCAGAATGTTCTCTCTCTCCCCCCCACCCCCAGCTTTCACAAAAGATGCTGGTGATTACATCCAAGTTGACCGCTTTCTGTTTTCTGCACCTGGTTTCTCTCTCATCTTGTAGTTGTTTGGGATGCTTAAAATCCAGCTTTTTGGTCTTGTCCTCGGGACTCTAGAAATTGTAGTTTCGTAAGACTATTAAGGTTTCTTCTTGTTCCCTATAGTGTTTTGCCAGTGAATCCATTGCTGTTACTTCTTGCAGCACTGTATAATTTTTTTGATGCAGCGTACTCTGTTAGTCCTCTAAAGCTCATGGCAATAAAACTTGCTATTCTTGAAGTTGGCTCGAGGCGTGTCATTTTTCTTGCTGCAGGAGATTAAGGGTGTGATTAATAGTTGTCATGCGCCATCAAGTCAATGCTGACTTTTGGAGAACCTTTTCCAGGTAGAGAATACTCAGAGGTGGCTTCCCATTCCCTTTTTCTGGGGACGCCCTGGGACTGTGCAGCTTGCCCAAGGCTACCCAGGCTGGCTCTTCCCCCTAGGAAGCACAGTGGGGAATCAAACTCCCAACCTCCGGCTCTGCAACCAAATCCCAGACCACTGAGGTATTCAGCCAGCATGGGGAAATACCTTGTGTTTTGGATAGCTTATAGCTGGGCAAGCTGGTACTACTTTCTGGCAATCACATGACACGCATGAGATTGCAAACTAGCACAACCCTGCTCCATACCTAAGATGGACCTCCTCAATAGGCAAGGCTATGCTTTTTATTGAGCTTGGCCGGAGTGATCCCTGCGTGGACAGAAGGGTAGCTTTAAGGGAGGTAAACTCCCAGCGAAGTGACCCTTCCCAGCGCAATCAGACATGATCCTTTCTCACAGTCTGACTGCACCATAACATGGGGAACACACACACACAAAGATCTGAAATTTTTACATGTTAAATGCATTGGGATCCTTGTGTGTAAGAATACTCATCCCATAGAATGGAGTGAAATGGTGACAGGCGTCCACAGCCCGGTGCAAAGATCACTTAACCAATTGCTCAAAGCTTGCTAGTAGAAATTGCCATTGCTTCTTTAGAAACACGTACTCAGTCATTTTGCTAAGATGCAGCTTCTATGCTATTTTTATATAAGTGACCTCTATCTTGTCCTCTACCTTTCCTATTATCCCAGTACCATTTCCTTAGTCGGACAAGTTGATTCCGACAAAGCTCTCCCTTGCGTGAATCGGCAGGCATCACCCACCAGATGGCGGCGGTAGCAGCCGCTCTATGTTGCAGGCGCACCTTCGTCCTCTCTCCTTACACATCAACCGTGTAACAAAAAGAAGAAGAACAAAAGACTCTCGAGCTGCGCAGAAGGCTATCCGATTTATTTTAGCATCAGGCATAGGTTGAAGTTGTATATAGTTGTGAGAGCAAGAGAATGCAGGTTGTCCCTCTATGTCTGAAGAAGTGGCTTGTAATGCACAAATACGCGTGCTAAAATACATCTGTTTTTCCAGATGTTCCATGAGACTTTTTCTCTCTTTTTTTTTGCCTCGTTGTCTTATGCTGAGATAGAGTGGAATAGCTACCTCTTTTAAAAGGATCAAGTCGAGAAGAGCAGAATCGTGCATGTTTTCCCACTTATTTATTTATTCTCTTTATATTCCATCTGCAGTTAATTCAATGCATCATACGTGTCTCTCCTTTGCCTCCTCCTTTTATCCTCCCAGATAGGTTAGGTTGGGGGTTCCAGGATGGGGTGAGGATTCTAATCTGGGTCACACAAGTTACAGGTCAAAATTCTAAGGACTACATGACTACTGTCTGTTCTGAAGAGTGAATCGTTTAAGCTTTCAGTTTCTTCTTTTGGCATCATTAAAATAAAAATTATGTACTGGTGCATCAATCCTTTTCAGGGTTTACAGTAGAGAGTACTCAGAAATGGTTTGCCATTCGGTGCATCAATTCCCTTCTTCTGTGGGCATCTTGGGACCGTGCAGCTTGCCCAAGGCCACACAGGCTGGCTCTTTTCTTAACACGGGGGAATCAAACTCACAACCTCTGGCTCTGCAGCCATATTAACTAAATGACTGAGTTGTCCAGCCAGCTCTTAGACAGCCTCATTTAAAATACACAGAAGTGGTTTCCCAGTCCCTTCTTCCTTAGACAGTCTCATTTAAAGTACGCAGAAGTGGTTTCCCATTCCCTTGTTCAGGGGGCATCCTGGGACTGTGCAGCTGGCCCAAGGCTACACAGGCTGGCTCTTCTCCCTCAAGGCACAGTGAGGAATTGAACTCCCAACCTTTGGCTCCACTGCCAGATACACAACTCACTGAGCTATCCAGTCCGCTCTGGCATCATTATCCATTTCTTTATTTTTATTTGATTTTTAGCCCCCCTGTCTTCCCTGTTCGCCATACAGGGGGTAGTAATTGTATTTTTTTCAGACATGTATTACCTGTTCTTCACAATAAATCCCTTTCCAAAGCAGGTTACAATAGCAGTAACAGAAGCAAAGTAAAGCAAACTGCCCCACTGCACTTAAAGCACTCTCTGGGCGAGATAAAGCCCTTTCCAAAGCAAAGTAAAGCAAACCACCCCACTGCACTTAAAGCACTCTCTGGGCGATTTATCATTTTAATTATGCAGTGCTCCCTCCCTGCTAGCAAGCTGAGTACTCATTTTTCTGACTTTGGAAAGCTGAGTGAGCCTCAAGCCATCGACCTGGGATTGAACCCAGGTTGTGGGCAGAACCTCAAGCCATCTACCTGGGATTGAACCCAGGTTGTGGGCAGAGTCTTGACTGCAGTATTGCAGTTTCAGCACTGCGTCACGAGAATTAGACAGTCCTATCAGTAAATGATAAAGATGAAAGAAACACAGATTAAACATAGGAGAGTGTAGGTGCATCTGAAGAGCAATTGACAATGTTCAGCAGTCCAGATGTTTCCATAACCAGGGGAATTCTTTATTTGTTCTCGACAGCACTAATGGGACAATTATCAATAAACAGAAGGTGGTGAAGAAGCAGGCATGCCGCTTGCAGACCGGAGATGTGATCTATGTCGTTTACAGGAAACATGAGCCAGAAAACAGTAAGGACATGGTGCTCTTTTCTTTTTTCTCTGACCTCTTGGCAGAGGGTGCATACTGGATGGGAAGAATCAGAACAGTTTCCCTGAACTGGGAACCTGGAATGCTGGTACTCCAGTATCCATCCACCCCAGCCAGCATGATGGGCAGTGTAACCACCAGATCGGGAACATGGAAAGGGAGCATGTGGTTACGCTCGGGGAACCATGTTTTGGAAAATGAATGGGAGGCCATCCAAGCAAAGTGTGCTGTTTATATGCCGCTCTAAAGCAATCTCAGGGGGGTTTACAATTTAATTACACAGGCTACACAATGGAGTTTAAAGCAATCTCAGGGGTGGTTACAATTTAATTACACAGGCTACACATTCCCCCCCCTGCAAGCTGGATACTCTGTTTACCAACCCGAGAAGGTTGAGTGAATCTTGAACTGGCTACCTGGCATTGAATCTGGGTCTTGAGCAGAGTTTCAACTGCAGTACTGCAGTTTAACCAGTACACCACGAGGCTCCTGCTTTTCCCCCCAAAAGTAAATAAGACGAGCATCTTCTAGTTCTGCTTCGTTGTTGTCCTGGGACAAAGGCAGAGAATAGAAGTGGTACTGCCATATAAGCAATATGGTCAATGTTGTCTCAAGAGTGTTCCAACACTGGAGGCATTCAAGAGAAGACGGGACAGCCATCTATCAGACCTGCTTTGATTTGGATTCCTGCCTTGAGCAGGGGGGTTGGACTCGATGGCCTTATAGGCCCTTTCCAACTCCATTATTTTAGGACTCTATGACTCACATTCATTGACAAAGTGACTGGCGGAACATGAGATGTGACAAGTTAAGAATCACACGGTAAAATCTTCTTGCGTAGCTCTGCCTGTAGAACTTGACGTTACGCCTATGGTAGCTACAAAGCACAAAGGCAGAAGTGCTATCCATGAAATGTAATTTCGCCAGCGTACTACGCAACGGTCACAACAGGAATGGCCAGACTGTTCACACCATTCCCATGTTGCCAGCTGATGTGCCCAGCACATTGACACTGCCATAACTTTACACTAGGTCTGTGCAAACAGGATCTTGACCACTGTGTTTATGTGTCCGTTTGGAAGTGTACATGAAAATACATGGTTTTTTTCCCCCCTGATTAAAACAAAATCTGCACAAATCAAGCATAGAAGGATTTGGAAGTGGAGGGGGGGGGAATCTAAAGACATGGATTTAAAATCTGCCCATCCCTAGCCCAGAGAAAAAAATTTCCCTTCCTCTGGCAGGCCGCTATAGGGAAGTCCAACTTGTCACTTGTGAATTGTTGGGTTTAAAACATCTTCTCTTCTTTCAGATGTTGCATATCTTTATGAATCTTTAAGCCCAAAACAGGACCAGGATGATGAGCCAGTGGGTAAGTAAAAATGATTAGTATGGAGACCCACAGAGGGTTTGGGGGGGGGAGGGAGCGGAAAGAATAAGCCTATAGGATTACTTGCACTTCTTCTCGGAGCCCCTCCTTATGTAGAGGATGTGACTGACATTCATCTTTATGCCTCAAATTGTTCGGGAAGCGACACAGAGCCATTGTTTCCCAATCTCTTCCTCGCTGCAGAAGCCAGTGTTGAAAACGTCTGCCAAGTGACCAAATATACCTCATGTACTGGAAAAATACATACTGGAACCTCAGTTTCACCAACGGGTCAACCCAGCTGTGATGAACCACGGCCGTCCACCTCTACGTCGAACCTCTTCAATGCGGCTTCTGCCACCAAGCCCGTATCTACAGAACAGGACAATCCCTCAACATCTGGTAAACCTTGGCCAAACAGTTGAAGCATCTTTTGGTAACAGCTGGGCAGTAGGAAAAGCCTTAGGTGTTTCGTTGCCTGATCCAAGGGCAACTTCTCCATCAGGGTGGAAGGGGGCTCACATGGTCTTTGAGATAGCTTGGACCCCAGCCGTTTAGGGCTTTGTAGGTTAAAAACAGCACTTTGAATAGTGCCTATGACCTATTGTTGGGAAGGAGGAAGAGGCTGTTGAATTTTGGATATAAAAAAATGGTAGCCAGACTTCCATTGAATATCTGTGCTCCTTTGAATGCAATTGGCACAAGTTGGAGCTGTAAATCGCTGGCCTGATTAAATCCCTAGTGACATACCAATTCCGCACACGAGTAGGAATTCCATTGGAGACTTGCGTAATTAATTAGATGCTATTTGCAACTCTTGTACACGAGTAGGAATTCCATTGGAGACTTAATTAATTAGATGCTATTTGCAACTCTTGAGTCTGTGTTAAGCCGCTGGACTTATCCGGACAGAAAGATTCTGTTGGATTCTGGACAATTCATAATTGAGTGGTGTTTCGTGATGTCTAAAACTTGCTGGTTGAGGCAGCCTGCGCCCTTTCTCTTAGAGTAGGGTCGGCCTTTTGCTGAACCCTAACCTGATCAAGAATGGAAGAGACAAACAATCCGTGTCTGAAGTTGAGAAATGGAGTTTGGACTCTGTGTTCACATCCCAAGCACCATGTCTGTTACAATTTAGCTACTTCTGCCTCTTTAAAAAAAAATGGAAGGATAGCCATGTTTTAATTACAGTGGTGCCTCGCGTAACGAGCGCACCGTTTAACGATGAATCCGCATAGCGATGCGTTTTTTGCAATCGCTAATGCGATCGCATTGCGATGATTCCAATGGGTGAAAATCGCATTGCGATGATCGGTAAGCGTTTCGCTTACTGATCTTTGCATTGTGATGTTCTAAAAACAGCTGATCGGCGGTTCCAAAATGGCCGCCGGAAGAATAAAATGGCCGCCCGCTCCATTGTCGCGCCCTGCCCTCACTTACCGGGCAGCGAAAATGGCGGCTGGATGGGGGAATCTTTGCTTACCGGTGAGTTTTCGCCCCATAGGAACACATTAAACGGAGTTTAATGCATTCCTGTGGGTCCCCCCCCCCGCGTAGTGATGAATCCGGATAGCAACGTTAATCCTGTAACGGATTAACGTCGATATGCGGGGCACCACTGTATTTGAATGAGGTACTGAAAATCATGTCTTAAAGCAATATGTTTCCCATTTTGCAGGCTCGCAATCTTCCACGCCTGTTCCTGTACCAGCTTTGATACTGTGTAGTCCGGAAACAAAACTTGAATACAAGCAGCCACGTGTAAATACTGAAATGCCTGCTGTTTCTTCAGGGGATAAAGAGAAAATGTCATTGGCTCTACCTGAGCTTAAAAGCAGGGATGAAGAGGACGCCTTTGAGCCCGTGAGAAAGAAAATGAAAGGAGGTAAGTTAGAGACAACTGTACAGTAGGGCCCCCATAAATGTGGGGGATTGGTTCCAAGCCCCCTGGGGGTGCTGAAAAACATGTATTATAGCAAACATAATTTTAATAGTGAACATTGTATATCACAGAGTCTCATTGTATATCACAGAAGCTCCCTCTACTTGCCAGTTCTGGTAAATTCATTGTTAGAAATACATATTTTTTGGATTTTTCTTTTAATATTTTAAAAGACTGTGGATAAATGAATCAGTGGGGGGATCCTAAGATCAGAAGTCTGGCTGCTTTGGCTAGCATTCCACTCCCCCCAAGCATCCCATCCGAGCAACGGTAAACAGGAGTCAGCATAATCTTGACTCCCCCATGGATGTCTCAAAGGTCTGCCTTATTGAACTATCAAGGCCTCGATTTATTTCAGGAGGAAGTCTATGAAAATGCCTAAGGCTTCATACAGGTTATTACATTTCTCTAAGTAAATAAGTAATGGTATGTTTTACATTTCACTGACTGGTTAGAATAATCAATATTCTCTTATTCTTAACCTTGACATTGGTCAGCGCCTTAATATCACTTGGCTTCCACCCATGACGGATCTGGGTAGAGAAATCCCTTCGTTTCCTCCTTGCGTGGGTGGCTCCATGCCAACAAAGTTGGGGGGAGAAGCGTCATGCCACACAGCTGGGCATCTTGATTGTTGAGCAACAATGTATGGAGTTCCATTGTATCTCCATGCGTGGGTGACGCTTTCTTTCACTACGACGATTGTGGTCCCTTTGCAGATGGCGATGGCGGCTCGTATCTTCAGGAGCTTCCTCCAAAGGAATGTGCAATGAAAACAGGCTGCGATGACGCCAAGTCAGCCAACGTGAAACCAGACAAAATGGAAGAAACGCTGACTTGCATCATCTGCCAGGAACTGCTGCATGACTGTGTCAGGTATGGGCGGTTGGAGGTTGAACTGCGTACGATGGCCGCAGCGCAACACATGAGAGCTGGCACTCCACTGGATTCCTGTACGCTGTGTATAGAGGGTGGCTGGGCAGGGGATTGAAAATGCATGACGGGCAAATGGCAAGGGCGCGTTGAGCACACCTCGTGCCCCGTGGTTCCTTCAGAGCAGCCCCTTCTCTAGCCAGCCCTTTGTTGCCTCTTGGGCCACTGAGCCTTCTGAGCCACCGTAGCATTCCTACTCTTGCTCAGTGTTTTAGATGGTGAGGTGCAACCCTTGTATTATCCAATCCCAATTTGGGAACTATCTCAAAGAAGAGCATGCTCCCTCCGAAGTAGCAGCAAACGGGAAGAAGCCATGCAATACCCCAAAGCTTGCTTCCTCTTTTAAACTGGTACTAAATGATCCAAAATACAGCAGGATCCACTATCCATGGAATCAGTATCCACTGATTCAGTTATCCACTGCCTGAAAATACTAATCCCCCCAAAATGCATATTCCAGGGTGTGTTTAGCAGATTAGATTAGGCATCCTTCAGTCTCGAGAGAATATGGTAACATGCTCTGTATGGAGGACTTGGATCAGCATCTAGTGTGGCTGAGGAGGCCGATTCGAGAGCGCCAGTCCCTTCCACACTGACAACAAATGCAATCTGTCCCCTGTCCAGCTCCCTGATTTTACTGGTTTCAGGACTGCCTCTTTGCCTCAGCCTGCTGGACAAGGGTCTTTTCAAATGGGGAGAGGCTACGCTGCATCGCCTGCCTACAGGCTGAACACTCAGATGTCAGGGTTTCCCATCTGTTGAGGTCCATTCCTAAGGCCTTCAGATCCCGCTTGCAGATATCCTTGTATCGCAGCTGTGGTCTCCCCCGGGGTGATTTCCCTGCACTAATTCTCCATACAGATCTTTAGCAGAACTGGCCACTGAAAGGCATCAAAGACCATATAATGTATAGCATTCAATATTTCCATGTTTTTCCGTATCCACCGGGTGGTGGTGGTTTGGAACTTATCCCCTGTGGTCCTAATGTATTAAATTTCAGCACAGGCAGTAAAATTTAACTGCACAATTCTTTCTTTTCAGACTTCATAAATTCAGTTTAATAATTCCCTAATTTCATCAAACCATAGTTTACTAGTGCTGGAAAACACAGACTTGTTCTGACCCTTCAAACTCTGCTGTATGTGCAGGATCAGAGATGACACATCTTATTGCAGACCAACATCTTCCTATTTTCTCAGATGCACTCTCCCCCTTCCCTTTCCCCATTCCCTTTTAGCCTGCAGCCCTGCATGCACACTTTCTGCGCTGCTTGTTACTCAGGGTGGATGGAACGCTCCTCTCTCTGTCCGACATGCCGTTGTCCGGTGGAACGTATCTGCAAAAATCACATTTTAAACAACTTGGTGGAAGCTTATCTCATCCAACATCCAGGCAAGTGGGTTTGGTCTGCACGCGTTTTTGCCCAGTGGTAATGGTGATGATGATGACTATAATTTACAACCATGACAATGATGTACTATTTAGTGCATGATCACAAAAGAATACCAAGAGCCCGTGATTACAAAAGATTAAAAAGGCAAGTACCAGGTTTTCTTCCAGTCTGGAGAAACATAAGAAACTGCCAACTATCAAGGCATATCATCGGGCCAACTAGCTCAGGATTGTTTCCCATGGTTAGTGAAATTAGTGATTACAGGAAGCCAAATTTCACTTGAATATCAGGAAAAACCTTCTAACTATTAGAGCAGTATGACAATGGAACCAATTATCTTGAGAGGTGGTGAGTGATCCAGCACTGGAAGGCATTCAAGACAAATTTAGACAACCACCTGGCAGATATTCTTTGGTTTGTATTCCTGCGTTGAGCAGGGGGTTGGGCGTGATGGCCTTATGGGCCCTTTCCAACTTCACTGTGCTCTGATTCTATGAAAGTCCCATGGATTTCACATGGAGGTCTTTCCAGACCTACCTTGAGTTAAGAGGCATTGAACCCAGAAAACCCTTGCATATAAAACATATGCTCTAGCTTTGCAGCCCCTCTTTGACTTTCCTTGCAGAAGAAGCTTTGAACTAAGGCAATAGTTCCCAACATTGGGTTAATCCAGATGTTCTTGGCATCAAAATACGGTTGGGTTGGGTTGGGTTGGGTTGGTTGGTTGGTTGGTTGGTAAGAAAGTCAGTGGGTGCTTAACATTGTGGTAACAGCATCTTTAATATGCAGGTCTTTCATTGAAGCTTGTGTTGTAAAGCATGTGAGAATCTCTGTCATTAAACAATGGCAGAGTAACATGAATGTTCATTAGATTGGCTGTTTACAATTGTTGATGACTTTTCCCCCCTACAAGCTTCCATTTGTAATCAGTTGCTATATAGTGTAAATTATCCCAGGCCATGGGGGACCACAAGAGCAGATTAAAGAATCTGTTTTTGCCTTTGAAGTTTCTAAAATGGATCTGTATATGGGAGATGCCGTACAGTGCATTAGACTAGAGCAGTGGTTCCCCATGATCTTGGACTACAACTCCCAAAAATCCTGGCCAGCACAGCTGGTGGTGAAGGCGTCTGGGAGTTGCAGTCCATGAGCACCTGGGTTACACAAGGTTGGGACCCACTCATGTAGGATGTAAAGTGGAATGGCTGCCATTATCTGCCCATACCTTTCTGTTATATCCTTATATTTGCTTTAATTGTAAGGCATTTTGCATGCTGTCCTTGCACTTTGGCAAAACAAGATTGCTGGTCTTCCGAATGGTAACTTGCACAGCCCAGGTCCGCGTTGTTATAAAAAGTTAACAGCCCATTTCTCCCGGTTTCTAGACAAGTGTCGTAATGAAGAGGACGTGCGAAGCATGGATGCTCGGAACAAAATCACTCAAGACATGCTTCAGCCAAAGGTGCGCAGGTCCTTTTCGGATGAAGAAGGAAGCTCTGAAGACCTGCTGGAGCTATCGGATGTGGATAGCGAATCCTCTGATATTAGGTGAGTGTGCTTCTAGCCAAGTCACGTCTTCGAGCTGCAGATTTGGTGATTTGGTTGACATCTCTCAATGCATGAGCTCAACCCATTCAGAAGCCCACTGTTTTCTGAATAGAGAGAACCTTATTCAGAAAATTAGCTAGCCGGATAGCTCAGGGGTGTACTATGTACAGTGGTGCCTCGCATAGCGAGGTTAATCCGTTCCGGATTAACCTTCGCTATAGCGAAACATCGCTAAATGGAATTTAAAAAGCCATAGTTCCTATGGCTTTAAAACTCACCGTTAAGCGATGTTCCTCCATAGCGCCGCCATTTTCGCGCCCTCGGTAAGCGAGGGCAGGGCGCGAAAATGCGGCGAGGACCTTCCGGCGGCCATTTTGGAACCGCTGATCAGCTGTTCTCCCCGCTTCGTTATGCGATATTCGCTAAGCGAATCGCTTAGCGAATATCGCAAAGCGAAAAATCGCCATAGGGGCCATCGCTGAGCGAATGCTCCAGCGATGGCCCAGAGCGCCTCGTTAAGCGATTTCATCGCTCAGCGAGGCGCTCGTTAAGCGAGGCACCACTGTATATGGCTACCGAGCCAGATATAGACAACCCTGAGCTATCCAGCCAGCTAGTTGAACTCCCCACTGGGCCTCCGGGAAGAAGAGCCAGCCTATGTGGTCTTAGGCAAGCTGCAGAGTCCCCGGGCACCCCTGGAAGAAGGGAAACCTCTTCTGTATACTCTCTGCCAAGAAGAAGTCACCATTGCATGACTTGACAGCATGCCATTATTATATTATTTTATCATTGCTTCAATGACTCCTCAGGAATTTGAACCGTTGGTCTTCTGAATCTGGCACTCTATGGATTAGGTCTTGGTCTCTTGGTGCTCTTAATTCCAATAACTTCATTGTGTCCCTCTTTCCAGCCAGCCGTACATCGTGTGCCGACAGTGTCCGGGATATCGTCGGCAATCCGTTCCAGCCCTTTCCTCCCCTGGCCTGGAAGGAGAAACGGAGTCAGGGCAGGCGTTAGGGGATGCCCCCTCCACGTCTGCCAACTTCCCAACAGGTGAGTGCCATGACAGCGTTGCGCTCAATGTGCGCACGTACAGAAGGAGCAAGTCTCTTTCACAGCCTTGCCTTCGGTGGCCAATGTGCCACTTCAACTCTACCGGTGGGACTGGAGAATGATCTTTGGCCTATGAGAGGACCAAATGAAACTCTTAAGGAAAGGAGGAAGGAAAAGGCTGGAGTTTACAAGCCTGGATGAACTGGCCTTTGGACTTCTGAAGAACTCTTGAGATGTTTTGCACTTGACTGTCCCTCTCCAGTTATCCGCAGCCTTTTTCTCTTCTCTCCCCGTGTGGTTGTTGACTTGCTTGCCTGTCTCGCCCACTCAGCCGCCCAGGAGTACGTCTGTCCTTCTCAAGGAAGTCACGTGATCTGCACCTGCTGCTTCCAGCCAATGCCGGACCGCAGAGCGGAGCGTGAGCAGAACCCCCACATCGCCCCTCAGCAATGTGAGTTGGCCGGCCGGTTCCTGGGCTGTTGTTTTCAGACTTGGTACCATATGTGTTTTTGGCGATGCTTCCTAGACCAGGCCTTGGAAACTGTTCTCTGCTGGGAATTTTTTTGTCATGCACAGTTGAAATGAAGCTGGCAAAGCGTTGGGAAGTTTTTGTCCTTTCCTCTGCTCCATAAAGATGCTTTTCTTGTTTCTTTTCCTTAAGATGCCTTCTTAAACTTGTGTCCACTGAGCGTCTTTACAAGAAACCAAGCTTCAATGTACTTATATTTAGGGATTGGAGTTTCATATATGTTTGAACTACAGCACTTAAGTCTGCTGGAATGCCCCAGCTCGCCCTCTGATGTAACTTACAGCCACTGATAAATGGAAAAAAAAAAAAGACACACACCCCATTACTGTGATCTTTGGCAAAGAAACCAGCCAGGCGGGGCTAACCTCTGCACCACTGCAAAGCATTTGGGGTATTGTAGTTTCCAAAGTGGTGTAGTGAATAGAGTGACAGACTAGGACTCTGGAGACCAGCGTTCATATCCCCGTACAGCTGTGGAAACTCACTGGGGAAGGATGGAACTGCCAAAGCCACTCTTTAAATACCTCACTTACCTTGGAAAAGGTATAGTGACCTATCATAGTGACCTAATAGGGTTGCTATAAGTCCGTTTTAACTTACTGGCACAGAACAACAGTTGTTTCCAGAGAGGTCCTTTGTACACAGCATAACAGACAGCAAGACTACAGTATCCATAATCCCTATTGCCACCTATATCACCACCCACTCTTCTTGCTTCGTATCATGCCATACGAATCCCTTTAGGATGGATGTAAATGGTGGGAGGCTCCTAGCGATGGGCATGAACTCCCGCTTTGGTGGTTTGTCCTTAGTGGTCGGACGAGTGTTCGGCTCTTCCCAGTCCCCCTCCTCCGGACAGCCCCCACTCAGAGGCAGCATCCGGAGGGACGCTGTGGCGCTGCCTCTTGAGTAGGTGCTCGCCCGAGGAGGCAGGGCTTGGAAGTGCCAAACCCTTCTTCAGACGCTGAACGAACCGGCGCGAACCGACAAACTGGTGGTCTGTGCCCATCTCTCTAGCAGCTACGCCACATAGCCCGTGTGGGAATGTGCAATTAGAGAACCGGGAGAGGAAAAGAGGAGAAAGCTTTGTTTTCACAAATGAGACAGAGTTCTGTTTTGGTTTGCTGTGTTTGATCATGTTCATGTTGGTGTAGAGTGCTAGAACACAGTGCTGTTGTGACAACCAAAGAGCCCAACACTTCCTTCCGTTTCTTGTCCTCTGCCTCTTCTATTTCTGTTTCCAGTTATCACTGGAGAACTTAAACAGGTCCTCCTTGGCCGAACAGGAAGTGATGTCATGACGGGGCAAGGCTACCTCTCCTCCCCTTCCTGTGTTCCTATTCATTGTAGGATTGTATGGGAGGGAAAGGGATCACAAGATAAATGGCCAGGTGGTATTTTCATTGATGACCTGGACTGTCACCCATTCATGGTCCACATGGCGTGCTGAATGGATGGAGTCTTAAGTTGATGAACTTTTCTTTTTTGTCTCTTTTCAGGCACCATCTGTCTCCAATCCTTTTGTCACTTGTACTGGGGCTGCACTCGGGTGTCATGTTTTGGCTGCTTAGCACCCTTCTGTGGTAAGGGAGAAGACTCATTGTTAGAAAGTCCTTTGCAATCGGTAGATTCTGCACCCCGCTAAAGCCCATAAGGAGCATTGTCCTTAAAAACTAAAAAGATTTTGCTTCCAGATCAATTCTGATAATAAAAATCCTGTGCCGTCAAGTCAATTCTGACTTAATGGTGACCTTTTTCAGAGTTTTACAGGTAGAGAATACTCAGAAGTGGTTCACCATTGCCTTCCACTAGGGGGAGCCCTGGGACTGTGCAGCTTGCCCAAGGCCACCCAGGCTGGCTTTTCTGCCCAGAAGGCACAGTGGGGAAATCGAACTCCCAACCTCGGGCTCCACAGCCAGAGACCTAAATGACTGAGCGGTCAAGCCCGCTAAATTAATCCTACCAAGTGTGCAACCTTTCATTTTAGTTAAAACATGCTCATTTTATGTAACTGAGAAATGAAATTATCTTTTGAGTGCTCTCCTACAATGTAAGGTGGCTTGGCAATATTCTTAATAGCATCTGTGGCCGAGAAAGTACCTTTAAAAAAACAAACCATCATAACAAAATAATTTTATAACTAGCACCATTCTCCCACAAAGTCTTGTTTGTACCTTTTTGGGACCCAATAAAGGTATTACCCAGTCTGGGGTTTGGTTGCTATTCATGGATCACGTGATGACTAATTTTTGTGCCACACTACCTTGTTTATAAGGACGTGGCGGCACTGCGGGTTAAACCGCAGAAACCTCTGTGCTGCAAGGTCGGAAGCCCAGCCGTCGTAAGATCGAATCCACACGACGCAGTGAGCTCCCGTCGCTTCTCCCAGCTCCTGCCAACCTAGCAGTTCGAAAGCATGTAAAAAATGCGAGTAGATAAATAGGTACCACTTCGATGGGAAGGTCACGGCGTTCCGTGTCTAGTCGCGCTGGCCACGTGACCACGGAAACTGTCTTCGGACAAACGCTGGCTCTACGGCTTGGAAACGGGGATGAGCACCGTGCCCTAGAGTCGGGCACGACTGCACTAAATGTCAAGGGGAACCTTTACCTTATCTTGTTTTTACTGAGAAAAGTTATTTTGGAAGAAGTGTCTCTCTTACCAGCGAGGGCTCTCTTGTAGTGAAGAGCAGATTGGTCATGAAGCAAAATATCTGAGCCATATGCATTATAGAGCCAGCAACATCCACGGGTGGAGAAAGAATTCTACCAACAAATAGAATCCCTTTTAAAGACTACCTATCTGAATCAAGCTAAATAAGTCTCTTAATATTTATTTCAAGATATGTATTTCAATATACTTTTTAAGCAGCCATTTTCTTCATACTCTATTTGCCTTTTTAATTATAACTTTATGGGGGGGGTTAACCTGATTTATGGTTGCTGTGGGGCCAATAACTTTGATATACCTACTAGGTCAAACCCTGTTTAAGAAAACTGTACACGTAAGGGCATTTTTGTGAGTGTTTTTTCTCCCGGGAGTGTGATGGATGGCCAGCTACAAGGACAGTATCAGTTTTTGGATTACCAAATTACACTGGGTGATTTAGTCTAGAGGATTTGTGGCCTGGGAGCTGGAAAATTAGGAGCCTCTGCGCTTCAAAGAGACAGTGTGTTGAGCGCTCTAGTTGAGACCCATCAGCCCTTCTTGCAACCTCAGTCCTGTCCAGGTTTGCAAGAACATAGGTTCTTTCAAAACCTTCCCCTCAATCCTCATCCTGTTGCCTTTTCCAGAAAAATAAACATCCCCAACCCTTAATATAGAAATTAACTATATTCCAATGCAAGTATTTTCAGTCCCAGGTTTTTGAGATTGCAGTGTAACTGTCCACGCAGCAAGAAAAGATAAATGCCTTTTGAGCAAGTAAAATTCATGTCTTATTGTTAAACAAATTCAAAGCACAGTCTTTGTCTGGGGATTATATAACAGAGGCAAGTTTTCACATGGTTGTTGTTCAGAAATACCAGGCAATCACAATTATAAAATTATGGACTGGCGTTATATAACAGATAGAAGTTTTAACCAAAACCCTAAGTCTTATTATTATTCAGAAAACACCAGGCACAGTCAATCAAGAACATAAAAAATATGGACTGGCGTTATATAACAGGTAGAAGTTTTAACCAAAAACCTAAGTCTTATTATTGAGAAAACACCAGGCACAGTCAATCAAGAACATAAAAACATTGACTGGTATTGTATAACGGAAACAAGTTTTAACCAAAAACCCAAGTATCTGTTAAGTATTGGCACAATATGAATGCTGGTTTTTTTGTAGCTCTGAGGGTGTGATTTCTGAGATCTGCAACCGCTTATAACATTGTGTGAAATTTCTTGATATTGTTCCCAAAGTCCCAATTACTACGGAGATCGCTGAAGTGTGTTTCATCCACAAGCGAGGTGTTTCGATGGCCAGGTCTCTGTCCTTTGTTAGTTTTTCCAATCCTTTATTTTCAACTATGGCTTCCCCTGGAGTTGTAATGTCAGTGATCATTTCTTCGTTCTATTACTACGATGTCTGGTGTGTTATACGTATTCAAGGTGTCTTATCAGTTTGGATAGATAAAAAAATTATTATTGTTGTTGTTATTTCTTCTGCTTCTTCATAGAAATAAACCTTGGTGACAAGTGTCTGGACGGGGTCTTGAATGGCAATAACTATGAATCGGATATTCTAAAGGTACATGTGCCATTTTGAAAGGCCTCTCCTGTGAAAATATCAGGGTTTGAAAAAACTGGGGCTGAAATCACAGCCCCTCCCCATTTGCTCCATGCCCTTCGGGTACAAAACTAAACCTTGGGGGGGCATTTCCTCTTCTTTTGCATTACAATCCCCAGAACTCATTATGTTGCAAAATTCAAATTCTATCCAAGGCAGCCTAGACGTTCCATGTCTATACAGTCTCCACTTGGGACCCTATCTGACTTCAATGGGGAAGGATAGCCAAGGAATCAAAATATCCACTTTTGAAGGGAATCGGTCATAATGCTTTTCTTGGGATGGACGGCAAGCGCGTCCATTCCTTTCGGCTTTGTATGGCACTAACTACGCTCTTGTCTTCCAGGATTACCTGGCATCCAGGGGTTTGACATGGAAAAACATATTAAATGACAGCCTTGTAGGTCTTCAAAGAGGAGTCTTTATTTTACCAGGTAAATATAACTTCTTCTCTTTGACTTAAATTCTTTAAAAATGTTGTTGTTTAGTCGTTAAGTCATGTCCGACTCTTCGTGACCCCATGTACCAGAACACGTCAGGCCCTCCTGTCTTCCACTGCCTCCTGGAGTGTGGTCAAATTCATGTTGGTAGCTTCGGTGACACTGTCCAACCATCTCGTCCTCTGTCGTCCCCTTCTCCTCTTGCCTTCACACTTTTCCAACATCAGGGTATTTTCCAGGGAGTCTTCTCTTTTCATGAGATGGCCAAAGTACTGGAGCCTCAGCTTCAGGATCTGTCCTTCCAGTGAACACTCAGGGCTGATTTCCTTCAGAACGGATAGGTTTGTTCTCCTTGCAGTCCAGGGGACTCTCAAGAGTCTCCTCCAGCACCACAATTCAAAAGCATCAATTCTTCAGCAGTCAGCCTTCTTAAGAGAACATAGTGTTCTTTTAATGGATAGGCTGTCTGAAACCCAGAACCTAACCTTGACACAATTTTGATTGTTGGTTAATGTGAGTTTACCCCCAGTGATTTTAATGTTTTCCATGGAATGTTTACTCTTTTGGGTGTCGTTTTATCCCATAATTTATAGCCCCTTCTGGGTTTGTTTTTAAAAATAATAATATTGACATTTAAGGAATTGTTAAAATGAAACAGAACGTCACTACATCTTAAAACACGCGAACATGGGGCACGTCTTACATTTTTATGAAGTTTGGAAAAATTCTTAACATACTGTGATCCTGCGTTGCACCCCACCGAAAAAAAAATGGAATCCAGCTGTGAAGAAAGGTCAACTGCAACTTCTAGAACCCAACAACTGCAGGAATTCACCTTTAACTTGATCTGAAGGTACACCTGCAGTGTTACAACATTGCCCACATTAACCAATTTCTCAGAAATGGAAGTGGGCTCCCAGTGTCTTCCAGGATCACTATTTTACCTCATTTTTAGCAGTCTCTCTGGACCCAGAGGGTTCTGGGATATCAAAATGGACCCCAAACCCATCAAAACAGTCTACCACCCCCACCCCACACACACACACTATGCTAGTAACTAGGAGGACTCATCCTTGTTTGAATTATCTTGTAAAATGACGTTTGGTGCTCGTTTTTTAACAATTCTGATTTCCCTCCCTCCAGATTACCGAATTACAGGGGAAACGGTGCTCTGCTACTGTTGTGGCCTCCGTACCTTCCGAGAACTCGCTTACCAATACAGGCAGAATATTCCTGCTGCCGAGCTGCCAGGTATCAGGGTGCGGGGGAGTATCTGTAAGCCTCAGTCAGTCCGAACCCTAGCATTTAAGGTTTCTTTGGTGCATTTTTTTAGTAACATATTTACAGCTCGGTTTGTCCCATACTCTAGTTGTTTTCGAACGCTAGGATGCAGAAGTCGTTTTATAACCATGAATAAGAATTCACCCAGTTTCCATGTCTTCTATAAGTGTGACATACCCTCTCTTACCATACCTGCCTGTCACAAATTATCCCCCGAGACTGTTTTATTTGCTATGTTTAGCCCGCCTTTCTCCTTAAGAAAAATCCAAGGTAATTTACATCACTAAAAAGAATTTTTAAAGCTAAAAATAGCAAGTATTTGTACAAAAAAGGATGAAACGCATACCACACTAGAAGACAGTAAACAAAAGCAACACCAAAATGCATTCAAAGCAAGGTTTCAAAACCCTCAGCCCGGAGGGAAAGCTTGCCTGACGAGAAAGTTCTTCGCCTGCTCATGGAAGGACAGCAAAGATAGGGCCAGGCTGGCCTCCAGTGGGAGGGAGTTCCGCAGCCTGGGAGCAGCCACCGAGAAGGCCTTCTGTGTCCCCACCAGACGCATTTCTAAGGGTGGTAGGGCCAAGAGAAAAGCCATACTTTTTTGCGCACTGCCGTTCCACAATCATGTTAACAACATTTAGACTCAACAATATTATTATGATGTTCAACGGTTGACTGCATTTTTTTAATTTTGTGTCTGCCTTCTCTCAGTTCTACAGGCATAATATTTAAAGGTAGCCATAGGTGGGAAAAATGTAATAACAGAATAACTTGTACATGTATTTTTTGCATTGTGGAGGAAACCAGCTTTCTCTGTTTCCACCGTAGGGCGACCTAAGGTTACAGAGCCATTGGAGGATATAAGATAGGAGTCATTGAGAAGCCCTGCTATATATTCTCCTTGCATTCCAAGTGTTTTTTGTTGTTGTTTGATTTACACAAATGGAGGCGCTTTTATTTAACTTAACGAAATACTTTTCAGCTCAGCGCAGGGTTCACTGCTCAAGAACAGGAAGCTGGAAATTAAAGTCACGGATGGGATGAAAGATGAGATGTTACCCCTCCCAATGCAGATATTACAAGGCCAAAACATGCATTATGGGAGTGCAACGCGGCTGTAGCCTCCTCCTCAGGTTTGGCTGCCGGGGGGTAGCGATCCGGCAACTTATGGCTCGCATGCCCACAGAGAGGGCTCTACATGCTGGCTGTGGCATGCGTGCCATAGGTTTGCCATCTCTGCCTTTTCATTTGTACTGCTCTCGGGTCCCATGGTTTGCCCACCCCTTATATCGGAAAGGCTCTCGCAAGTCTCAACAACACTGCTTGATGGATTCTGTCCCCCTGCTCTGCCCCGCCTCGTTTTGCATGTAATCACAATGGTGTGTCCATTTTATTCTTTATTCTCTTTCATTTTTTGGCACAGCGGCTGTCACATCTCGTCCCGATTGCTACTGGGGGCGTAACTGTCGGACTCAGGTTAAAGCACACCATGCTATGTGAGTTATCCACCTACCTTGACAGTGGGATGTCTCTCTAGGAACTTAAAAGTGTCGGTATTGCAAGCTGTCACAAGCGTGCAGAATTAATTCCTATGGGGGGGGAGGGGGTTAGAGATAAGCAAAAGCAGCTACAGCTTAAGAAAGATGTAATAATAATTGTGGACAGGCTAGTAGCCTGTTGGAGATTTCTGTGCAGACAAAAAAGATTGCACAAACTGGTCTGTTGTACTACTTCGTAAAGTTCTGATTGTCATCCGGCAATGGACGCTTTCCAATATAACACACTCCTTTGTACTGCCTTGTTGGTTGTGTGCACAGTGTCTCTCTCAGTGAGATACCAGCCTTTTTCTACAAATTCAAAATCTTGGCAGGTAACATTTAGCTTTTAGCCCACAGCTCTGATTTATTATTCCTTGAAGGGGCAACGTCATGGTTCTAAAGGAAAACTAGAAGAATGTACTTTGTACATGCTAGTGCGTGAGTGGTTTGATTTCACTCCCAGGGGGAAAAATGGTGAAATTAAATGAAATAAGCCATGCCATTTTTAAAAAAGCTAAAAAAAATGGTTACATCCTATGCAAAATCTTAATTTACTGTTCTTTGCTTTTTTTTCCCCCTGTGTTCCCCCCCCCTTCTGTTTTGCAGGAAGTTCAATCACATTTGTGAACAAACACGATTCAAAAACTGAATGTTTTCTAGGGATTTAATGGATCTGAATATTTACCGCCTGTTTAAAAAAAAGGGAGGAGGGGGGAATTAAAGCTGAAATGCTGACTTTTTCAGTAACTGTTCCCTTTTTTCCCCCTCATATCAAGGAGTTGGTTACTTTTTACATCAGGTACTCTGATGTGAGTTACTTTAATTATTATTTGTAAAATTCTGCAGCTTGTAAAGAGGGCAGAACATCTGTTGTTCTCTGTTTTTTTTGTTGTTGTTGTTATTATTCTCTTTTTCCACAAAAAAAGAGAGGGGGGGGGAACTGAACCAGTAACTCCAATTAACCTCCCTCTAGTTCCATCATGGTTTTGACTTAACGAGTGGACCGAAGTTCTGATTTAGGGGTGGGCTAAAGCTGCAAGCATTGAGCAAAGGAAGGAGGGATTTTTCAACAAGCAAAAGAAACGAGACAATTTCCTGCGTGAGAAAAAAAGTTTGATAACGGTTGATTTGTGGAATAAATGTGATGTGGGCCAAGTTGTGAGTGGAACAGAATTTGCAAACTTTTAGGTTTTTTAATTATTATTTTTAATTTACCTACTGGTTGTGGGATTCTAGGAGCTATCATTCCACCTCACCACAAACGATTTCTTATCTCCAGAGCAGAGGGAAAGTAGAGAACTAATCACCCAGTTCTGCCTAAATGATGCAATGTCGTATTTTTCTGGCTCTCCCTAGGAACTGTTGCGCCGTCTTAGTCTTCCACCAATCGGCAGCCCCGTCAGAAGCTTATTGGTGGATTCATTTATGGGCTATAGCCAATCACAATTGACTCGTCATGCTTTGTCTTCCTGCAGTACTTTGCAGACTATTTCTCTAGGTGCTATGATGCCTGATCAGCCAAGCATGGGGGGAAAAGTTACTTTCTTGGAATACAACTCCCAGAATCCTCCCGGCCAGCATGTCCCCTTCCCCTGTTTATAGCAATGGCCGTTGGATACATCAGGGCAACGATTGTAAAATCACATTGTTTTCCTCCCATAGCGTCCCACCTCCTTTTCCTCTCCTTTGACGCGTTTTCTTCTGAGGTTTGGGATAAGAATAATAAGATCCATCGTGATATCCGTTCTAGTAGGAAAACGTCTACTCTGCTCAGTGTAGACATGTATTCCCCAGTGATGGTGTTTGCAGTCCTTCTGTCATGACACAAGTGTATTTAGAACATTCCATAAGCCAGTAAAGGAGAAGTCGCAGTTATAATTTAGAGCCACTCCATGTTCTGATCAACATTTTTTCCCACTGTTCATAGCTGAAATGATTCTCCTTCTCTCCCTCCGTCCTCACCCTAATAAAGCAGATTCGAGGCGGTTGTATGGCGCACAGATGATCAAGATGGCGCCATCAAGCATTTAGACACGGTGTTGCTCTCTGCAGGAATTAGAAGGGCTTGGCTTTGATTGAATCTGGTTGTAGTTTTGCATTAATTGAGCTTCTGCTGCTTAAATCAAGAACCTAGGGGGGAAGGACGTGCTCTGTCCCTACTCATACACCCAGTTGTGGATGTTCTCAACAATTTATGTAAGCTGCTCTTCTTACTAAAGCATTGGCCAACACGAAGAGCAGCACAAGCAATTTCCTAAATTGGGATTGTTCTTGGAAATCATTTGCACCCAAATCTTTTTTTGCTTCATGAATGGTTCGAGCAGATGATCGGTTCCGCTTCCCTAGACTCTTTTCTTCTTGGGATTCATTTATGTTCAGCAGTGAATGAAACGATGCTTCTCGGTGTCCATTTTTTTACAACGTAGATGACTTAAAAAAAACAAAACAAAAACTGGCAGATTTTATACAAGCCGAGGGCCCTTGTCTTCCTTACAGTCTAATAACGGGTATCCTTCATCCCAATGAGCCTCTTCTTCTATCGCTCCATTTAAGATCAGTAGGACTTAATAGAGCCCACCCACTAGGACATCATCCAGCCCAAAGATATTGATCCAAACAGCATGATATTTTTAGATACGAGAACATGGTTTTAGAACATGCTCCTGTATCCAAAAAAGGCTAGTGTGGCCACCAAGCCAAAGAGGAAGGCCTACATTCGTTGGTTAATCCCAATTGATGAAGCCCCATGAAGTCAATGGATATAATGCCCCCTCCAGTGTGTACATTAAAGATGGGATTAAAGGAGAAGTTGCCAGTGTCTGTAGCCTGTCGGCCAGCTATGTTCCATCCATTGGACTCTAATGAGCCAAGTAGATTTTTTCAAAATAATAATAATAAGCGGTTCCCTGTCTTCATGGACCCTTTTTAAAGGCGTGCACACCACTCCATATGCCGCCTGCCTCTTGGAGTGCACTGCAAGCAAAGTTTAAAAAGATTGGATTCAGAATTCAAGAGTCTACTCACAACTCTTCTTAGGAGCATGGAAACCATTCCCCCCATGCCATTGCAATAAGGTAGAAATGAAGGAAGTCCATGGCAAGTACCCCATCGATTCACCTCCAAAGCGGGTGTGGGCTTTCCCAGGTCAATTTGCCCGTCCGATATATTTCCAGCGTAGGAAACGTCCTTGGAGGTGTGGCTCCCATGTTGCTACCCATAACCATAAATAAGAGCAGTAGTGTAGCGGGAACGTTTTGCGTAGACTGCATCTCCTCTCTGCTTCCCACTTAATTTTTTCCCCTTTGAACTGCAGTTATCACAGTCGTTAAGAGAAAAACAGATTTTTCTAGGACACCATTGCAAGCTATTCCTGTTGTATTACAAAACATGAGATGGCGGTATGCTCATGGATAGGCCATTATGAGCCGTTAGCTTTACAAAAGGCTGTTCCTCATTTTTTATTATTGTCTGATCCAGCAGTCTGAGTTTTTGGACTTTCCTTGTGGAAAAGCTAACTGTTTGGATGGTCATGATGACCCCACCGCAGTTCCAACTTTATCGCTGGTATTCTGATGTCATGTCCTGAAAGAATTTCACCCATGCACTACAGAGAGCAATACTGCACTACATGAGAACTCCCACCTTTTTGGAAAACAAGAATTATTGCTAGATTTCTTCGTAGAAGGCCTAGTTTATTAAATGAAGATGAGCCAGGTGAAAGCATGAAAAACAATAATGTTTTTATTCCTCTGGTGTTATCATAGTGGTAAATATGTTTAGTGTTTTTCCTAAGCTAATATATAGCTTCTCCTGGCCTGAATTTGGAAAATGGTTGATTGGGAAAATGAGAAGAATAGGATTCATAGACGATGGTGTCACTGCTTCATTTTATTCCATGTGTAATGGAAGTCCGTGCTAAACATCTTGATTTGGAAGTACAGTAGGACAATCCCCCCTTAGCTGTGGGATCAGTATCTGCTGATTCCCTTATCCACTGTCTGAAAGTATTAAAAATAAAGGAAAAATCCCCAAAATATCTATTTCTAATGTTCAAGTTACCACAACTGGACACTCTATTCCTAATGTTCAAGTTACCACAACTGGACACTAGAGGGAGCCAAAGACCACACTGTGTATAATAATCACTATTAAAGTAGCGTTCGCTATAATCCGCATTTTTCTGCATCCACGGGGGTGGGGCTTTGAACTGATCCCCTGTGGATCCAGGAATCCTACTCCTCAAGTGAATGCAAGCAATGGCGGTGGGTCTGACTTTAAAATGCCTGTTAGGCTTAATAAAGTAACTGCAGTTACTACTGCAGTATCCAGTGGGAATTAGTTCCAACCCCCTCCCCGTAGATGCCCCAAACCTGCAGATATGCAAACCGTATACATACAGTACAGTATACATAAAACATAGTATCTATGGTTCCCTCTAATGGCCAATTCTGGTAGTGCACCATGGAAACATATATTTCTGGGTTTTTTAATTATTTTCCAGCAGTGGAGAACTGAAACTGCGGGTACTGATCCAGCAGATATGGTGGCCTTACTGTATTATGAAATAGGCAGTTTTCTAGCAACAATTACACACACACACATACAAAGTTTTAAATAATCCTTGAAATGTTTGCAAATTGAAAATTAATATTCTAGGCCTTTTAGCTACCTTATGTTTTTTTTTTAGCTCTTGAAGTGTTGGAAAATAGCTTCAATGCACATGGTTATTGTATCCTCTCCGGCCGGTCCATTCCCAGCTGCTTGGCCTCTGTTTTCAGCTCTCACCCATGTAAGCAATTTTTTTTTGCATACAGTGGTGCCTCGCACAACGATTGCTTCATACAACGATGAATTCACACAGCGATGGGTTTTTTTGAGGAATTTCCCCCATCGTTTAACGATGTTCTCTATGGGGGAATTTCACTTAACGATGTCCCTTTTTGCTCATTTAAAAGTGTCTTAAAATGTTTGAAACCTGTTTTAAATGCTTGGATTCCATAGTGCACCTTGTGAAACATGTGCAAACTTAATTTGGTTTTGTTCTGAGTCTTCATTAATTTTTGTCTATTCCTAGGTCTATTCACCCATGTAAGCATTTTTTTTTTCATATATTGGAGAAGACCCACTTTGCATATGAAGTCCAAGGGAATACTTCACATTCTGTATTGGTTTCCCCCCCTACATTCTGGATTGGCTTCCAGTTAAAGGTTTTCTGCTTGACTGGTGGACAGTTTAGAATTTAGCGGCAACTTTTTAAAAAGTTGCGCTTCTTCCTTCATTTTGCAGTGTTTCCAGCGGAGCACATGTAGGTACTACCTGTACCGTGGAGGGTTTGAATGTCCTTTAATGCCCCCCCTTCCTTTATAAAAGACTTAATCTACTTTTCTATGCATTAGGAGACTGAAGTAGTGCAATGGAATGACAAGACCTTCCTTTTTCTTATGTGTATGTTGTACTGATCTTTTTTTTTAAAGAGTGAAAATGATAATTTTACCAATCTTGGAGAAGCCGAATCAATCTTTAATAGGCTCTTTAAATGAGGAAGAGCACTGTTATTCATGGGTATTACATACTCTTCTATATTTTAGTCCCCTTTTTAAAAAAGAAAATCTCACGTTTGGTTGGATGATCTTTAGTTCATGGGGCAACTTCTTAAACTTTGCTTGATGTTTAAAAATTGTGAATTGTTTGGCATATGTTAACCTCTCTGAAGAACAGACTCCCGCCTCTCTGTCCATTAAAAAGGAAAACCGAGGAGCAGGAGGGAGTTTGTTTTTAGAATCGGTCTGGTTGAAAATAAGGGAGTATTATGTTATGGGCGAATAAGGCAGGATTATCTCTGGGATATTCTTCTGTAAAGAAGGCTACATGCATTGCTCTTCCAACTTTCTGGGGTGCTATCGAGGATTAAATGTTTACTCATGGAAAAACAGGTTCATTTTTGCTCTCTTTCTTTCAAGATTAATGTTCGCTTGAATTTTATGCTATTAAAACACACCAGATCTTGGCATTTAGAATACACAGTGCAGTTTAATCAAATATAACAAGTTAAACTACAGTGGTGCCTCGCACAATGAGTGCCTCACACAATGATAAATTCACACAACGATGGCTTTTCCTGAAAAATTTGCCACCTCACACAACGATGTTTCCTATGGGGGATTTTCGCACAACAATGTCCCTTTTCGCTACTGTAAAAGTGCCTTAAACTGTTTGAAACCTGTTTTAAATGCTTGCAATCGTTAGCCCACCTCCTGAAACCTATGCAAACTTAATTTGGTGTTGTTCTGAGGCGTCGTTAATTTTTGGTGAATTTTTTTATTCTGCATTGAAAACAAAAAATCACCAAAAATTAACGAAGACTCAGAACAACACTAAATTAAGTTTGCATAGGTTTCAGGAGGTGGGCTAACGATTGCAAGCATTTAAAACAGGTTTCAAACAGTTTAAGGCACTTTTACAGGAGCGAAAAGGGACTTCGCAAACCCATTCAAATGCATTGAGTCGGCTTCAATGCATTTCAATTGGGGAACCGCGTTTCCCTCAACGATGTTTCCTATGGGGATTTTCGCTTAAGGATGGCAATCCGTTCCAATTGGAACGGATTAACCGGTTTTCAATGCATTCCTATGGGAAATGGTGTTTCACAGAACTTTTTTTTTTTGACATCGTTATGCGAGGCACCACTGTATATTGGTTTTGGAGTGTTTATGCTGATGTGGTGTTCATTTGGTTCCTTTTCAATGAATTGCTGGAGAGTAGGCCTCAGATCTAATCAAGCCTGGGCTGTCTCTGGAGGCAGAAATGTTGAAATTGAGGTTATCTTACCTTGGGCACATCATGAGAAGGCTGGATTATCTGGAAAAGTCAACAGCTCTGGGGAAAGGTAGAAGGAGTATCCTGTCTGCCTATCTCTCCAATCTCAGCAATCAAAGATTCCACATATTTGAAATTTAACGTTATTTTTATTTTATTTAGACCAACAAGCTGCCTTTCCTAGGAATAAAACATTCCTCTGATACAACAGTAAAAATTCAGGGTTTTTTTGTTTATTTTTTAAGAATAAGCTCCTTGACTCTTGGGAGGGGAGGTTTAAACTAGTTTCCTAGAGCTATAAAATACTGAACTATTTTTTTTTTCATACATGGATAAAAGAAATTAACAAACCCCAAAAGGATAACAATTGGTTTGAAGGTCAGCGGCTGCTGTCAAGAAGGGTCTGATGAGATGCGAATACAGGTATTCGCAAACTTTGCTCGTAATTCTGCCATCGCTGTGACCAACGGCAGTGTTCATACTTCTACACAGAAATCATGTTTCGTTTCAAATACAGTATGCACAAAGTCTAGATGCCTTCTCAAAGGGTCTCCGTCCTGTTTAGAGAAAGAACAGATGGAAGCTTAAAAGAACAGGTGAAACTTGTAAATTCGTCTGATCCAAATCAGGGGTGAGCGTTCTAGGAAACAGACTGAAGACGCCCGGGTGGAGCCAAAATTAAAAACTGTCTACTGGACAGGGTGAGCTTAAAACTAAATTTCCATCCATTCCCAGCACCTGCTTGGCAATTGATATCTAGAAAGCTGCCCGCTAACAGTTGTTTGGGCCAAACCCAACTGGGAAGTCTTTAAAGCAATTCCTTTATCGACATGAAAAAATCGTTTTGAGCACAGGGCTGAAGGAATCCTATGACTCTCGGAGACTGAAGGTGCAAGTTATTAAATGTCACTAGAGAAGGAGACTTTGCTGTGGTTCATCTCTAAAATATGCACATCTCCTTTATAGTCATCAGAATCGTGCAGTCATTGGAGCGACCCAACTCTTCCTTATTTTGATTGCTGCATAACCAAGGGAGGACTGGTAGAAGCATCACTGAGCACCTTTCAGCAAGGACTGAAAAGTTAGATCTTAAACGTGCAGCACAGCCAAAATAGAATATTCATTGCATGCTAAAAAAAATACTTCTGGGGTGGAAATATGAATGGCATATGCACGCACTATCTAGGATCGGGACCCTTCTTTGGAAATAAGCCCCCTTTTCAGCACTGTTACCTTCTGTGATAGGTGCACACCTTCTGTGACAGCTCACCCAAGCTTCTGCGCCTGGAAGCAATGGAGAAACAGCCCATTTCTGACAATCTGCTCATGCGGCTGTCTGGAATTTCATGTGCTTGCATGCATCTTATTTGCTTGTCACCTATGGCTCTTAAGTGCACAAATACACGGGGTGAGCTGAAACATCTCATAAAACCTTAGGAAGCAGGAGTATTTTTTTGAGGAGCTTTCTAATGCAGGACACCCAAATAACCTCAAAAGATCCCACCCACCATGCTCAAGTGTTAAGGGTGCCAACATCGCAGAATAAAATTAGTGCCACAGAACACAGAGAGGCGTAAGTACAATAATGCACACAGTAACTCAAAGGGCAGTCGTGGACTTGGGCTTCTAACACCATGGGAAGACAAGCAAAAGACACACAACATTTCTGATGATTTATTTTTCCGGATGCAAGAATATGTGCGCATATATGCATTTTTTGACAGAAGCGGTACCAAACTTAGACCTAAGTCAACTCAGCTCTAAGGATTTGTTCTTGATTTACCTACAGATCACATTTTCCAGGTAGATGCTGTGTTTTGTTTTGTTTTTTGCAAGATAAAAGTAACAGCAAAAGTGTGTGAATATGTGCCAACAAGAATTTCCCACAGGACCCGATTCTTATGTTGTGTGTTTCCATGCTTCATGACAATGGTAATAGTTAACTAATAGAGATGGGCATGAACCACCGGCTCAGCAGTTCGATCAAACGGGTATTTGGTGCTTGAAAGCCCTGCCTCCCCTGTTGGGCGCCCACTCAGAGGTAGAGGCCTGGTTTCCCTGCCCCACCTCCTCCAGGTCCTGTCTCTGGGTAGCTGCTGGAGGAGGGACGGGTTTGAAGCGCTGAACACATATGTGGCTGGATAGACGAACCAGCACAAACTGCCAAACCATCTCTCTATTAATCAGCCAGGTATGTGGCTGTGTCACAGAAGATAGGAGAGACCCTTTGCAACTTTTTATTGCTGTAGCAAAAAGAGACACAGGTTGGGCAAACATTGGCTGGCTCCACTATGAATCTGGACTTTTTAACAGCCATTCAGGTGGGTAAGTTCTGTTTTCTTATAATCTATGTGACTCTTGTGTGTGCCTCCCTAAAGCAACTACAGTATTCGTATTTCCCAACGAATCGTGGCTGTTGGTGTTGCAAGAACTCTGCAGTACTGTTATCGTTCAGTGCTGTTGTGTGTCGAGGAGATCCATTCGACATCCAGTGGCAAAGAAAATAGCAAAGAACATGTAAAGAAAATAGATCTCTGCAGATGACACGAAACTGTATATCCCCCTTGTGAAGTATTTCATTGCTCCCATCTAAAAGCAACGATCCTTTTGTGCTTCGGTAGTTTATTGTTGACCTCTCTGTATTTCTTCCTGTTGATCCCATTGCTTGTCTATTCTGGCCATTGCCCCTTCCTCCCCTAGCCATGATCAAACTTCGGTAAGGAATTGTGCGATGGTCCCCAACTCTAGCTAGAATTTGGTCGATCCTCCCGCCCAAGATATTTATACCCAAAATGGATATAATCTCCTTTTTACTGGAAATGTGACTATTGGCTTCCTAGTAGGGTTTTGGAACTGAACAGTACCACCCTATTAAAAACAAACGAACAAAAAAAAAATCACACAGACACACACATATTAAGAAAGCCCCACTTCTTTTTTCAGAGGATTTGGTCGGGCAGCATCTGTAAAGCAGCCAACGCAAATCTCTGGGTACAACGGCTGTTGCCGCAGTCATGAGATGCAACTTAGGAAGAATGGCATCAGTGCAACAGGGCACAGCTTCACGCAGGATGACACCCTCTCTTCTTGTCTGTGCTGGACAGCTTCAACCCCTTATCACAGGGGCGTTCGTCTTTATTGCTTCCGACACAGCAAACCTGAAAGTTTCACGTCAGTTGGACGACTATATTTGGAAGAATTACTGGACTGAGGTTGGACACAACCTGTGCGTAGCTAAGGAATCGAAATTCTGATGCCCGTGGGCAGTAACGCCGCCAGCGTCTGGAACAGGCACGTAACTTTGATCCTCACTGGTGCTTGAACTTTTCAAGGCATCTTTGTACGAACTGGGGCACTCCCTCCACAGATCAAGGTCTGTCCTGATGCCACTAGAGTCAAACAAGCCTCCTTCGTGAAGAGGGATGGCCACTGGCTGCTCATCTGCTACAGTCATCCCTAGGTTATGGATAACACCCTCCGGCTCGGATAAAGCATCCGTACATTGGTTCATGTGCTCGGATAAAACCAAAGGCTGCTGGTCGTCCCCTTCTTCGGAAATAACAAAAGCAGGTTTTGGGTGGTCCATTTCCAGTGCAAGCTCCTTGGAAGTGGAGCCGTTGACGGCATTGCTTTTGAACGGGAAAGGCCCTTCGGGTATGTTTTTTATTCTCTGGCTTGGGCTCTTGAGTGGCGATCTTCCGCCAGCCTGCCTTGGGTGAGCAGGTAGCCTTTGGCGATGGCAGTCCGGGGAACTCATCAAGAAGCCCAAGTAAGGGTTGCCGAATCGGGATTTCTTCAAGTTGCAGCCGCTGCTCAGCTTGCGCTCTTTCTGAGCAGAATGGGTCAGTGGATAAGAGGCCGCGCTGCCCGACGAATCCGAATAAGTTTGTTCGGAGATGCCATCTATTTCTGCAGCTGAGGTTACTTTCCGGTTAATTGCTGACTGATTTCTTACTGATGTAGAAAAACCCTGTCAGGGACAATAACACTGATAAGCAGATCTTAAAGAGTTTTGCAAAGAGAGATTCTTCAAAGCGCTTGTAAATGAACTGAACAAAGATTTATTTCGTTACTTCCTTGCCTTATTTTCTTCAAGGCTTCCCTATGCCTTTTTCCTTTCCCAAGATTTCAAGGTCAACAGGAGAGGAAAAAGTAAGCATGCACGTGGAAAGGAATGCTCTAAATACACCGGAAGTCCTGTTCGCGTTGCAGAAAACAGAAGGCCCATTAGCCCTTTCTCACTAGTACATTTCAAAAAGAAAGTTTGTAAACCTTTCAGATCATTGCAATAAATGCTAGGTGCCAAAGGGGGATGGGCAGTAGATTGCAGGGTAAAAAAAAAAGATCACCAATGGGATCAAAAACATTCAGGCTATAGGAACTCTGCACTCCAAATTTTATCTAAGCCAACCTCTGTCTCATCACTGCATCCCATAATTCAGGGTTGTCTCTTAAGAGTGCTGATTTTACCATCGACTGGCAGGCATGTTGCAACCACTGTTGCCCAGTAAGTCCACGTTGCTTCTTCTGACTTTTGGAATCAGAATACATTAGAAGTAAATATAATAGGACCGCAGTATCTGTGGGGGATCGGTTCTAAGCGACCACCTCCATGCCGAAAAACACAGAAGAATCAAACACTATACATTGTCAAGACGAGATCCTGCTCTCGTGTCCAGTTCTGGTAAATATACCATGGAAATACATGGGAAATAATGCATTTCCAGGGGGGGCGATGTTATTCAGTGTTTTCAGGTTGTGGATAAGTGAACCAGTGGATACTGGTCCTGCAGATAAGGAGTCGTATTATACTCCCACTTTTAAAAATAATAAAAAAAGCCTTTGATAAGTCCCCATGATTTTAGTTCCTTTTTTCAACATGAAAACACTAGTAGGGAGACAGCCCGGTTCTGAAGCAGTTGGATCAAACTTTAACACCTTGACCCACTATCACTCTGGATCCTCTGAAGATACTTACGCCGTTATTCACCAGCTTGGTGAAAGGACTGTTCGTAGACCAGCTGCACCATTTTTTTTGCAGCTGAGGTAACGGAGCCAGCAAGTCGTGGAAAGCGTGCGCGCTCCATGTCCGCTGAGCTGCCCCACAGCTTTCCGTCGGCACCAGCCCCCTCTCCGTGGGGCTGAGATCTGGTTCTGCCTGATCGGCTCCCAGCCAATCGCACACGGATCCAGGATTTGTGATGCTTCTCCTTAGGTTTTTATCCTACAGACAGACAGACGAGGGTTGCAAATGAGAACAGCATTCTGCGTGCCACTTCTTTCTTTAATTTCCAGGAGCGGCGTTAGTCTGTTGCAGCAACTTGTTAAAGTTGAAGTGGAACAAGAAAGGGGGAAAAGGTAAAACGTGTTTGTCCCCTCCTAGCAAAAGTTTTCATTGATTGCAGCTAGTACCCAAGATGCAGTCCATGAAAACATATGGCAAATTCAACTTACTAGTCCTCAAGCTGCCACAAGACTCTTTTGCTGGTTTTGCATCAATATTTCTACAAGTGGCTTGTAATTGTGAGGAAAGCTCACACTGGAAAAAAGCAACCCTTTCTTTCTTTCTTTCTTTCTTTCTTTCTTTCTTTCTTTCTTTCTTTCTTTCTTTCTTTCTTTCTTTCTTTCTTCCCTTCCTTCCTTCCTTCCTTCCTTCCTTCCTTTGATAAGGAATCAAGTCACTTTGTAAGCTCTTGCAAGCTGTTGAATTTCTTTTCTGACTTTTCGAGATCAGTGGAAAAGATCAACCGGCTGGTGCCAGTGGGAGATTTCAGGGCCAGGTTGAAAGATGCATGAATTCTGGAATGCTTTTCTGCAGGGGATTAAACAAACCCCGGAGGGTGGTGGCAGAGGCAGGCAGCAACATCATGTGGCTTCTTAAGCCCTTGTTTTTGATTCCTGCACTACCCCAGAACAACACTATAATGAGGCCTCTGGGGGAAAGAAATACGGCTGCTACATCCATGCTTCCTTAGAACAGTTACCTCTGCAGACAAAAAAGTCGGGGGGGGGGCAGAGGCTATCCATGGTGGGTGCCTTCTGACAACTGGAGGTGCCCAAGGATGCCAACCAGTTGATCAACCACGAAATACCGAAGGATAGGCTAAAAGCTTCCTCCATTTCCTGGAACTCAGTCTCAAACTGGCTATTGCTTCGCAGAAAAGGATTTGGATAAGCTTTTTTGGAAATCCACTTACTGTTTCATGTTGTCTAGACAAGCATTTCAAAGCAAGGTGATCCTGGGACCTTTGTTTACAGTCAAGGCTAAAGATTTCACATCTCCATTAGCACAGGAATCATGTCACAGAGGGAATGGGGCAGTGGGGGGCTTAGGGGAGAATTGCAGTGGTGTCCAACCTTGTGCCTCCAGATGTTCTTGGACTTCAACTCCCAGAAATCCTGGCCAGCAGAGGTGGTGGTGAAGGCTTCTGGGAGCTGTAGTCCAAGAACATCTGGAGGGCCAAGGTTGGGGACCACTGAACTAAAGCTACTAAGTCAGTGGTCCCCAACCTTGGGTAACCCAGACGTTCTTGGACTAAAACTCCCAGAAGCCTTCACT